AGTATTTTTCGCCAAGTGAACCTCGCCTTCCATGGGTCAAAGGGTAGTGCATAGTGTCTTACGTGAACCACGAGACAGAGATGAACCGAAAATACTGGCAAGAACGAGTGACACATCCGCGGAAAGTTTCCCATTTCTCCCCGCTTACGTGTTAGGTAAGTCTTACTGCAGAGAGGAACCCCTGCCGTGAGGCACCCGATCGAGACGGAACATCAATCGATCGGCCCCGCAGAGATGTGTCCCTGGCGCTACACCAGCATTTGCAGCTCACCTCTGCCCCGAGTTCACAGCGCTATGAACCCCCAATGATCCACTTGGGCGCAGAACGATTGACAAAAAATAAGGGGGTATACTACAAGCTAACGAAAGTTAGAAGAACTTTCTGTCAAAAAGAAAAGAAAGTTAGAAGAACTTTCTGTGAAAAAGGGGGATCAGTATTTTTCGCCAAGTGAACCACGCCTTCCATGGGTCAAAGGGTAGTCCATAGTGACTTACGTGAACCACGATACAGAGATGAACCGAAAATACTGACAAGAACCAGTGACACATCCGCGGAAAGTTTCCCATTTCTCCCCGCTTACGTTTTAGGTAAGTCTTACTGCAGAGAGGAAACCCTGCCGTGAGGCACCCGATCGAGACGGAACATCAATCGATCGGCCCCGCAGAGATGTGTCCCTGGCGCTACACCAGTACTTGCAGCTCACCTCTGCCCGTGTTCACAGCGCTATGAACCCCCCATGATCCACTTATTACAATATTTTGTGCGCAACTTAAAACTAATTTAAAATTAGCGCATCCTTTGATGAAATCCCTCGAAGGAAGTCTTCAATGATGACGTATTCATTTACCTATAGAATAATTAGGTGTAACAATGAATGGAGGAGACACCGAAGCAAATGCAAGACTAGTAACATTAAAATGTTTGGGCATGCACAATTCATGCTAACATTCAAATGCATATTAACATTTACGGAATAAAAGTGAAATAAAACTCGAGTCGACTCGATCACATGCATATTAACATTTACTT